TGGGGGGACACAGGAGGAGGACAGTCCCACCAAGAAGAGTCTCTGCAAGACAAAACCTGATTGCTTAGCAAATGTGCAGAGGAACCTAAACTCAACAGAAAAAAAAGAATCTGACACAAAAGATGGTTCAACAGTTTGGATTCAGACTAAGTCATTATAAAGCTTCAAACATGGCTAGAGCTCGCCATGGAACTGGATTCATAATAGATGTCACTCACAAATTGGGACTCCCAATATACCGCAGTAAACTAGAGTATACCGCAGTAAAATAAAGTATATCACAGTGAACTAGAGTATATCACAGTGAACTAGAGTATACCGCTGTGAACTAGAGTATACTACTGCGAATTAGATTATACAGCAGTGAACTAAAGTATACTACTGCGAACTAGAGTGTACCACAGTGAACTAGAGTATACCACAGTAAACTATAGTATATCACAGTGAACTATAGTATACTGCAGTAAACTAGAGTATACCCCAGTAAACTAGAGTATACCGCAGTAGAGTATACCACAGTAAAATAGATTATACCACAGTAAACTAGAGTATACCACAGTAAACTAGAGTATGCGACAGTAAACTAGAGTATACTGCAATAAAGTAGAGTATAATGCAGTAAACTAGAGTATATAACAGTGAACTAGAGTATACCGCCGTAAACTAGAATATACTACTGTGAATTAGAGTATACAGCAGTGAACTAAAGTATACTACTGTGAACTAGAGTGTACCACAGTGCACTAGAGTATACCGCAGTAAACTAGAGTATACCACAGTAAACTAGAGCATATCACAGTAAACTAGAGTATACCGCAGTAGAGTATACCACAGTAAAATAGATTGTACCACAGTGAACTAGAGTATACCGCTGTAAACTAGAGTATACTACTGCGAATTAGATTATACAGCAGTGAACTAAAGTATACTACTGTGAACTAGAGTGTACCACAGTGCACTAGAGTATACCGCAGTAAACTAGAGTATACCACAGTAAACTAGAGTATATCACAGTGAACTACAGTATACCGTTGTAAACTAGGGTATACCCCAGTAAACTAGAGTATACCGCAGTAGAGTATACCACAGTAAAATAGATTGTACCACAGTAAACTAGAGTGTACCACAGTAAACTAGAGTGTACCACAGTAAACTAGAGTATACCACAGTAAACTAGAGTATACCACAGTAAACTAGAGTATACCGCAATAAAGTAGAGTATAATGCAGTAAACTAGAGTATACCGTAGTAAACTAGAGTATACCGCCGTAAACTAGAATATACTACTGGGAATTAGAGTATACAGCAGTGAACTAGAGTATACCACAGTAAACTAGTGTACCACAGTCCACTAGAGTATACCACCGTAAACTAGAGTATACTACTACGAATTAGAGTATACCACAGTGAACTAGAGTTTACCGCAGTAAACTAGAGTATATCATAGTGAACTAGAGTATGCTGCAGTAACCTAGAGTATTCTGCAGTAAACTAGAGTGCACCACAGTGAACTATAGTATATCACAGTAAACTATAGTATATCACAGTAAACTAGGGTATACCCCAGTAAACTAGAGTATACCGCAGTAGAGTATACCACAGTAAAATAGATTGTACCACAGTGAACTAGAGTATACCACAGTGAACTAGAGTATACCACAGTGTACTAGAGTATGGGACAGTAAACTATGAGTATACTGCAATAAAGTAGAGTATAATGCAGTAAACTAGAGTATACCTTAGTAAACTAGAGTATAATGCAGTAAACGAGAGTATATCAGAGTGAACTAGAGTATACCGCTGTAAACTAGAGTATACTACTGCAAATTAGAGTATACAGCAGTGAGCTAAAGTATACTACTGCGAACTAGAGTATACCACAGTAAACTAGTGTACCACAGTGCACTAGAGTATACCACTGTAAACTAGAATATACAACTGCGAATTAGAGTATACCACAGTGAAATAAAGTTTACCGCAGTAAACTAGAGTATATCATAGTGAACTAGAGTATGCTGCAGTAACCTAGAGTATGCCACAGTAAACTAGAGTGTACCACAGTGACCTATAGTATATCACAGTGAACTATAGTATACCACAGTAAAGTAGAGTATACCACAGTGAACTAGAGTGTACCACAGTGAACTAGAGTATACCGCAGTAAACTAGAGTATACCACAGTAAACTAGAGTATAACGCAGTGAACTAGAGTATACCGCAGTAAACTAGAGTATACCGCAGTAAACTAGAGTATATCACATTGAACTAGAGTTTACCACAGTGAACTAGAGTATACCGCAGTAGACTAGAGTATACCACAGTAAACTAGAGTGTACTACAGTGCACTACAGTATACCACAGTAAACTTGAGTATATCGCAGTAGAGCATACTACAGTAAACTAGAGTATACTACATTAAAGTAGAGTATAATGCAGTAAACTAGAGTATATCACAGTGAACTAGAGTATACCGCCGTAAACTAGAGTATACTACTGCGAATTAGAGTATACCGCAGTGAACTAAAGTATACTACTGCGAACTAGAGTATACCACAGTAAACTAGAGTGTACCACAGTGCACTAGAGTATACCGCTGTAAACTAGAGTATACTACTGCGAATTAGAGTATACCAAAGTAAACTAGAGTATATCGCAGTGAACTAGAGTATACCGTATGCAGTAAACTAGAGTATATCGCAGTGAACTAGAGTATACCGTATGCAGTAAACTAGAGTATACCACAGTTAACTAGAGTATATCACAGTGAACTAGAGTATACCACAGTAAAGTATTGTCATGATTTTACAATGTTCAGACCCAAATGCAGAAAACCGAACAGGGAGACCAGGGAAAAGGTTTAACGGGTTTTATTTAAGAGGTAAAACAGAGGGAGAAGTGTTGTTCTGAACACTGCTAAACTGGAACTGAAAAGTGAGGGGAAGACACAGCGGTTAGTTCAGGCTCAGTGGGGAATTTGACTCGTGAACTTGGAGAAGAGGATTTGGTTGCTGACTTAGGTTTCCAGAGAAGTAGTTGAATCCTTGACTCCTTTCTGTGTGCTGTAGTTCCAGTATTTGTCTGATTTGGTGGAGGGCGAAAAAGGGTTTACCCAGAATGCGGTTTTTAGTTGGTGAACGGAGAAACTGACTGCCACTCAGACTTCCTGCGGTACTTGAACGGCTTGTAGAGGAGAATAATCCCTTTCTCAGAGCGAAGCTCAAAATGATCTCTTGGGAGAGTGGATCCAAACCTCCTGTTTGAACCCCAGCTCAGTTTGAAGCTCAGTTGATCCTTCCAGGGAGAGAAGGTCTGAGAAATCCAGTTTGCAGGATTAATTCCTGCCGAGAGGCAAAGACAAAAACTCAGTTTGACTCAGCAAAACTCAGCTTGGCTAGAGTACCCAAAACTGGCAAACACTCTGGCGTCGAGGTAGTGGCAGTCAGAGCTTAAGAATACTCCGTTTAGCGAGGAAACCATCAGCAGGTGTGTGGGGAGGCGGACCAGAACCAGGCGCCTCCTGGTGGATGAAGGGAGACAAACAGAAACACAAACACAAAGACAGGAGTCCTGACAACTATAGTATATCACAGTGAACTATAGTATACCGCAGTAAATGAGAGTATACCGCAGTAGAGTATACCACAGTAAAATAGATTGTACCACAGTGAACTAGTGTATGCCACAGTAAAGTAGAGTATATACCTGTATACTAGAGTGTTCCAGAGTATATTCTACCAAAGTACACTTTGTATATTCTAGTATATTTTACTAGGGTACACCAGGTGCTTTTTGCACCTGATGACAGATCTACTAATGGATTGAATAAATAAACATTATATTTCAGAAACCTCTCAAAATTATTATTTCTGTTTAATTTGGGTCTTAAATAGAAATGACTGAAGGTCTTAAAGGAATAGTACACCCAAAAAATGATTAGCCTTAATTTTCTACTCACCCCCATGCTGAACAACACTCTGGAGTACTTTTTTTGATATCTCAAATGCATCTGGAGATCTGGGAGGCTTCTTGCTGTCTGCTGACATTCAAATAATGGAGGTCTATGGCGCCCGAGGCAGAAAGGTCCATAAAAGTCCACAAAAAAGGTGTCAATATTCCTCCATACTGCTCGTCCAATGTATTCCAAGAAATCCTATACACTACTGTTTATGCTCTAAAAACATTCTAAATGACTTCGTTTCGAGTAAATTCTGGATGCTACCCACTCAGGACACTTGGAATACATTGGACGAGCAGTATGGAGGAATATTGACACGTTTTTTGTGGACTTTTATGGACCTTTCTGCCTCGGGCACCATAGACCTCCATTATTTGAATGTCAGCAGACAGCAAGAAGCCTCCCAGATCTCCAGATGCATTTGAGATATCAAAAAAGTACTCCAGAGTGTTGTTCAGCATGGGGGTGAGTAGAAAATGAAGGCTAATCATGTTTTGGGTGTACTATTCCTTTAATACCTTTTCATTCTTAATAAGGGTTGCCATCATTAAAATCTTTCTTTAAAAAGGGATATAAAGGTTGTGCTTTGCAGATAAATTGGGTTCCATTCTGTTCCCAAAATAAAAGTTTTTGTTGGATCCTGGAGCACCAAGGCTGTAGGCTAATTGCTCCATGTTTAAAAGACTCGGTCCGGTCTAGGGTCCATTATGGCAGCACCGCCATGGTTTGGAACTAAACATGATTCGTTTTTTAAATCAAAACTTTGATAAAAACAAACTTATTTCCATTCAGCATTTTGTCTCAGTTCGGTGCGTTTCAAAGCTGGGTCTTAATAAGCAGCAGCGTCTGATGGTCTGGGTCTGAAGGGACTGCTGGACCCTGCAGAACCAGTCTGATAAATATCTGGACTGTTAGCGCCTGAGATTCTCCTGAAAGTATCTCCTCTCGCTGCGGAGCGACTCTGGATCTCAGACAAAACCAATCAGAAACGGCCACCAGCCACCTGCAGGAAGTTGGCCGTCCATTTATCTCCTCCCTTCTTCGCCTGCAGTCAGATAACAGAGCCAGCAGTTGGATCGAGTGTCAGCTGGTCACCAGTCAGACCTGATGGGCACCAGCGCGCGCTAACGGCTCCTGGAAGCAGCTTCTGTGTTTGGGGAGTTTGGCTGAAAGCTCAGCCTCAGAGTGGGGAGTTTCCAAAGAGTTTGCACTGAAGGCTGGAAGAAGTTCTGGTTAGATTCAGTCTGGAAGAGACGCGGAGACGCATGCGGAGCACAGCACCATGAGCCTCCCGCTTTACGCACCGACACCCATCCAGCCGGCCCACCCGACCCCCTTCTACATCGAGGACATCCTGGGGAGGACAGCCTCGGCCACCGTTACCTCCTCCTCGTCCTCCTGCAGCGCACCGGCGGTCCCGACACCGACACTCCCGTCAGCGAACTCCTCCTTCACCAGCCTGATTTCTCCTTACCGGACACCGATTTACGAACCCACCCCGATCCACCCGGTTTTGTCCCACGCTGCGCTCACAGCGACCTACTGTCCGGTCGGAGGATTCGGCGGCTCCATCTACTCGTTCCAGCAGCAGCAGCAGCACCGCTCCATGGGGGAGTACGCGCAGGCGCTGCTCCGCCAGGACCCCCTCGGTCAGTAGCTGCTCTTCTCCTCACATCTTTCCATCTTTTTTCTCTTTCCGAATAAACAGGTTTTCCTTTGAGGCGGTAAAGCGGGTCTGTTTTCCCTTTAGAGTGAAACACATCTGGGGAAAGGTGACTGAGTCAATACATCATCATCACAACCATCATCATGGCAGCAGCAGTCAGGCCTTCATAGTGAATTATAATTCTGCTTTTCTGGCCTCTCATTCATTGCAGGGCAGCTTTTCTGTGTTACTAACTTTGTTTCGGTGCCAACGAAACCCCTTTTTTGCATGAATATCACGCTTCGTCACGCAGATCGAGCTTCAGATCATCTCCAGTTGCATGAACGCATCTGCTAAATCTGCATAAACACCCTCAGAACAACAGCTGGACACTTTAGCGCATGTTATCCCAGTTTGTGCACAGGCTTACTGCCCATGCACACATGAGTCACCCTGTTATTGTGACAGAAATGTAAGTCCACAATAGAGGGGGGTGGGGGGTATTGGTCCTTGACTGGTTCGGGGCTCCTGAGGCCCATTGTTCTGATGTTCTGAGATCAGAAGGGGGCCCTGATCAGGAGCAGCTGGAAGCAGCGGATTGATTTCATATTGAGCTCCACTTGAAATGGTTTGTGGATCAGATCTGACTGGTGATAAGGTGGTCCTCTGAAGTATAGTGATTTTCTGTTGGTGAACCAGCCGGGCCCTTTTCCGTTCATAGCGGAAGCTGTGAGCCTGTCGATAGGAGTAAATCTGCTTTCAGAAGCTGTTAGATGTTTTCCTGTCTCACCCCGGCCAGCCGCTTCCTCGGGAGGCCGCTGCGCGCTGCTGATTATTTTATCGACATCCTCAATACAGACATATTCAGGAAACACTCGGCCTCTGATAGCCCGGGATCCGTTTTTCACATATTGTTGCACTTCCTCTGCGGGGCCCTGCGAGGATGTGGCTGCCTTTCTGCGCGGCGGGCGGAACCGGGCGGCGCATCGGGCCACTGGGATCCATGGTGCATCGGGCCACTGGGATCCATGGTGCGGGTCCTTCAGGAGGATCTCTGCTCGACTGACTGAAAAAATGCAAGAAAGTTGGATTCAAACACACTGAAAAAATTAATAATGCAACCGCTTCTGGCATTTAATTAATCTTATTAAATATATTATCCGCTTTGACATCAATACAGCTCATCTAATCTAATATCTAGTTACTTTAACGCAATTGTTTCATGTGCTTCCCTGCTAACATCAAACAATTGTGTTAAAGTAACTAAATATGATTAAATTAAATACTAAAAACGGTTGCATTATTATTTCAGTTTGGTTTACATAAAAATAAACGAACATAAAGCGGCTGTAAATGAGATGAACATGACTGGGTCTCAGTTTTTGTTTATCCATCAGGGAACTGATCACTCCAGTGTGACGCGTTTTCACTATTATCACCATTACCAGTGACCAGTGAACCATCCAGCTGCCTGAGGCCTCCGCCTGCAGCAGCAGCCTCTGTAATCTCAGCAGAAGGCAGGAAGCGCGTGCAGCGGATATTTGGCCATAGTTTTCACTGTCACGACCCTGAAAGACAGCAAGCAGCAGGCGGCAGCTCCGGACCAGGCAGCGGGAAACGGTGCTGGTTCTGCTGGTTCTACTGCAGAACCAGCAGCCGGACCCAGCGCTCATTTCCAGGCAGGTCCGGCTGATCCAGAGCTGCTCTCTGCAGGAGCAGCATCGGCCTCCTGCGGCATAAAGAACAGAAATAAATCTGGACCTATTAAAGCCATTGGTCCAGAACCGAACCAGCACCTTTACCGACCTTTTATTTCAGGCCTTTTTTAAACTGCCGTGACTCTGATGTTTTTAATTATTTTATTCGCCTCCAATGATGAATTTCTGAGCTTTGTCTGAAAGGTTCGGAGTCCAAACAGAACCAGCGCTGATATTCCAGGTGTGTTCTCTCTGTGTGTGAAGGGAAGCCTCTGCTGTGGAGCCCGTTCATCCAGCGGCCTCTGCACAAGAGGAAGGGGGGGCAGGTTCGGTTCTCCAACGACCAGACCGTCGAACTGGAGAAGAAGTTCGAGACGCAGAAATATCTGTCCCCCCCGGAGCGGAAACGGCTGGCCAAGATGCTGCAGCTCAGCGAGAGACAGGTGAGGAGTCCAGAACCGGGCCAGAACCAGGCCAGAACCGGGCGCTCTACTGGTGGGCCAGTGGGTCTAAGTGTTTGGGCTGAACTGTCGGGAAATTGTGTATTATTATTATTATTATTATTATTATTATTATTATTTGCATTATTTGCATTATTTGCATTATTTGCATAAAAAATAATAATAACAATATTAGTCTAAATTGAGTTTTTGGTCAATTGCTTAAAGTAAAATGACTACTTTATTGTCATTTTGTAAACAGAGTGTAAAGAAAATGACATTGTAAACATAAAACTGAGATGTTTTACAGTTTTTCCAACATTCAGCTTTTTTTAACAATTGAAATAAAAATCTAGAAATTATTCTATTTGATAGAAACTTTATTCCGATTGAGCCAAAGGTTTGTTTAAATTCTATAAATTATTCGTTTTTTTTTTTACTATTTAATAAAAATGTGTATAATAATTTATTTAAATTGCAAAAAAAAAAAAAAAAAAAATACGAGAAAGGGGATGATTCCGCTGATTAAAGAATGACAATAAATCCATGAATTTAGCCTTTTTTTTTTTTTTTATAAATCAGCTTAGATGTATCAGACCTATAATTAAAACTTCATCTTCAGCGTCCTGGTCTGAGGGCCCCGCAGCCGCAGCGGCTGCATGGGGCCACTTTAAACCTCTCTGCTCTTTAACATATATATATATTTTTTATTCGTTTTATTTCAGCCTGAATTTTAACTTGACTTCTTAATATTTCTGGGATCCATTCAACATTTATTTTAACGTGTTTTGGACCTTTTTTTTAGCAAAAAAAAAAAAAAGAGAAAAACCGCGCAGGTGCAAACTAATAGCTTTAAATCAGATAATGCGGCTCTTTGTTTTAAACATCTCTATTTCCATCGGTAAATCATCTAACTAATTTATTCAAAATAAGGGAAAGTTTTTTTTTGTTTTAGGAAAATATATTTTATTTTTTTCAAAAGAATAAAATGGTGAATTTGTCTTTCAGGTTAAAACCTGGTTTCAGAACCGACGGGCCAAATGGAGGAGATTAAAACAGGTGAGGATGTCCGCGTGTTGGAGCCGCTTAGGCTGCAGCTTTATTTGCCTCTAATGTTCAAATCTATGTGACAGGAAAATCCTCAGAGCGGGAAGCAGCTGGAGGAGGACTGCGCGCTCCGGAGGAGCTGTAAAGCGGAGCAGGTGGGGGTCCAGAGCCCGGAGCAGCGGCGCACGGGCCCCGCCGCCCAGCCGAGGTCCCCCACAGACCTGGACTCTGAAATGTCGGAGGATTCCGATCAGGAACTGGATATAGAAACCAGCAGTGAGCTGAAACTAAAGCCATAGGAGGCCGAACGGAACCTCTCCACCTTTCTGCTGATGCAGAAATATCCTCAAATAAAGAGACTGATCCCGGAATCTGAAAGGGTTTAGTTTAGTTTGTGGGACTGGATGCTCTCATGATGAGAGCCCTGCAGCCCCTGCAGGCCTGCGGCCTCTGCAGCGCTGCAGCCCCGCAGTCCTGCAGCCCCTGCAGCCCTGCGGCCTCTGCAGCGCTGCAGCCCCGCAGTCCTGCGGCCCCTGCAGCCCCGCAGTCCTGGTTCTGCTTTGTATATGATGTTGGGTTGGATCAGTAGGCTACCGACCGGCTGCTGCTGTAAATATGTGTTTCATCCTCTCTTTGGTATGTATCTTCAAATTGTCTTATTAAATAAATAATCCACGTAGAAAAAATATATTTTGTTTAAGGGACTATTTTCTGTAACATTCATAACAATCTTTAATAAACACAAAAATGCCTTAAAAAAACATCAATTTCTGTTCTGACCTCATGAAAGGAGAAAACATTAATATAATGAACAATAAAAAAATCTGCTGTTTACATTTACTGTCTTTAAATCTAAAAGAACATATATATATATATATATATATATATTATATAGAAATTATAAAATTTGACTTGAATTAAATGCAAAATTTAAAATTAATTTAAGTCCATTTTGCTTGAAATAAATACTTTTTCCATTACTTTGAGCAAGTAAGATAATTAAGTGCTAGAATGAGATAATTTAGAATATTGTTGAATGATCTAATTTGAAGACAGAATTCCTCCTGTGTTTCTCCTCTGGAGTTAATAAATGCTGTCAGAACCAAGAAGGGAAACAAACAAATATACATATATATATAAAAACAAATATGAAGTTTACACAAAGAAACGTAAAATAATAAAGTCATGCCTCATTGGCTGCATAAAGTTCAGAGGAATAAAAATTATTTATACAGATTTTCTCACAAAAAAAAAAACGTAACTTTTTCTGGTGAAACTTCTTATAAAACGCAGTGATGCCAAAAATTCCGTCAATCAATCTCTCAATGGGAACAACGCGACATGCAGAACAAAACAAAGTTTCCTCCTCACATTTTAATCTGCTTTTAACAAAACTACATAAACGTGTAAAACATGAAGTTTCTGAATGTTATTTATTTATTTATGATTGAACTTTCATTTTAATACTAGTATGTATGAACTCTTGATTTTTTACTAAATATTAAAATAATTAAATGAGTTGACCCAGATTGCAGCTCCATCATCATTAGGCAGGCCTTCACCTCTTTAAAGAATCAGTTCTTAATTTGATCAGTTTTTGCAGTTTGTACTTAGAATAAATGTTTTTTTATTTCAGTGTAACTGTAGTAATAAAGCATTAATATTGCTCCAGATTAGTTAGTTGTCTGAGAAATGGTTTAGGAAGATGCTGCTGGTTTCAGAGGGTCTCTGGTTCCTTCAGCTCTCCTGGTTTTGTTGCTGTATTTACTATCATCCAGTGATTCTCTGTAAATTCTCTTCAGGTCTTCGGAAATCATCATCATATCACCAAAGCACACAAATATTCAGTGTTTAAATGCGACCCAATTACTGTCCTTCACTGAGCTGCTTCTCTTTGTCCCTAATGTTGAAATAAAGAGAGCCACAGATTAGCAAACCGTTGGGACCTCGTCGATTGTTGTCCCATCACCACATCCAACTTCAAATAGCTTATCAAGCTCCCATGCAAACAGTATGAGTGGGACTTTTTTGGGTGAGTAGATTAGGTTAATGATTGAGTGAACCTTCAGAGAGGCAGAAGCAGATAGAGCAAAGGCGTGAGTCCAATACCAGAACAGCCTGTTTTGATGAGAATATTTCAGCATCATCAGAAAGCTGCTAAATGTAACCCAGACCTTTGACTAAGAGCAATAAATGTCCCTCTAATACGCTTGTTTGGGCCACATTAGTGGGGTTCACTGGCCTCCTACATGCAGGAAGACCCTGCAGCCAACAGCGCATTCATTGATCCCAGCTCCTGTATTGTGTAATGGTTCACAAATCGTGCCGAGTAAAGTCAACAGTGGAAGGAAAGCACACACAGTTGGTAGGTGAAATGTTCAGCAGATAGTTAACTGATTCCAAAGTGCCGGTCGGATCTGGCCAAACACACAGACAGACACAGTATCCTGATAAAGAAATCAGGAGTGATCATAGAAGTGTGTTTTCCTACGTTTGCAGACATGATAAGAGAAAAGGAGGCTTTTATGTGGAGCTGATGGGTTTAGGCAGAACCAGTCATCATTGTTTGGTCAATTCAAACAGCAAATGAAGAATAAATAAAAGCTGATTGGAGTCTAATGACTCATTCAGACACAATGTTTGCAGAGCTAATGAATGAGTGGACAGAACTGTTCCCGATGTGAGGACGAGCTGGACTCTGACGGTAAACAGGCCGGCTGGGTCAGAGACATCAGACACACAGCAAGAAAAACTATCTTCATTCATGTTTGTATTTTCAGCTCATGTTTCGAACCATAGATTCATATTTTCCTGGAGGGTTTCCTTCAGATCCGCCCAGTTTCTGAACGTTTCTATGAGTGCAGGTGGGTTCAGCAGCAGAACGGTTCCTGTGAGGACAGGAAGGAGCTCAGCTCTGCAGCAGAGGGACAAAGGAAGCAGCGCAGGAAGACGAGGAGCAGCGGTCGGACCTTCAGCTCCTGATGGCGTCCTGAGATCAGACAGAACCAGGCAGCGGCTCTGAAACTCACCAGCTATCAGCTCCTCTGTGTGTTTGCTGTAGATGGACACAAGTTAATGAGTGGATGTATTTGAACGACTGAGGAATGTGTTGACTGTTGACCTTGGCCAAATGGAAGCCATTATCTCCCCCTGCCCCCCCCACCACACACGCTGATAAATTAATGAGGACATCGATACAGGTGTCGCCAGCAGGACAGAGAAGGGTGGGGGGGCTTGTGGTAATCTGGAGAAAATGGGGCGATGAAGAGTCCAGAATAGATCTTTCCAAATCAGCTCAGATATTCAGTTCAGGCCAACAACAGAAACAGATGAGAATAACAAACGTTCACCTGGCCTCTGAGCCGCTGCTTCACTCAGGTACCTGATATCATTCATCAAACCAAAGGAAACCAAACCCAGAGGCCAAAGGTAGACTGATGGGAGACAGAACGTACAAGACGCAGGAAGTAAGGCGTGCTGGGTTAGGTCCGATGGCTCCTTTCAGTATAAATAATAATAAGCACGGTGGTAGTGACATTAAATATGCTAATTAGAGACCTTTTATGATCCCTAACAGCTAAAGCAGGTAATAAACATGAGGGGAACTTTTCAAGCTCTCATCTCACCTAATTTTGAGCAGCTACAGTCAATTTTGGCCCAGCTGAAAAATGTCCCTTTATGGTACATTTTTGATTAAAAACCTTTTATCCATCTAAATGATCAATTTCTGCTTCACATATGGAAAAAACTGTCATAAATCTCAGCAATATTATTTCCCATCATGTCCCATCTATCTCACTTCATCGTGTAAATAATGTGAAACAGCGATGCTCTCAGTGTGAGTCTCACACCGCACAACCAAGGACGTGATCGGTTCAGGCCAGGTACAGCCTGTCAGCAGGAACCAATCAGCAACTGATTCATAAACAAGGTGAGTGAAAGAATGGATGGAATAAATCACTCCTGACTCCCAGTCAGTCAGTCAGTCAGTCAGTCAGTCAGTGTCAATCAGCTCTATTTCTGGTGAATAATTTGATATTTTTAGCTCTTAGCTTTAGCTGTTAGCTTTAGCAGGGTTGATTGATTGACTTTATTGATCTCACAGGGGAGAAATGTAGTCGTTTCGATGTTAGCTTTTGGCTTCACCACTTTCGCCATAATGAACTTTTTGTAGAGTTTCAGTCTGGCTTTAGAGCTCATCATAGCACTGAAACAGCTCTGGTGAAAGTCACTAATGATATTCTCATGGCCTCAGATAATGGACTTGTATCTGTGCTCATCCTGTTGGATCTCAGTGCTGCATTTGATCCAGTTGACCATAATATTCTTTTAGAAAGACTTGCATATTTTGTTGGAATTAAAGGAACAGCACTAGACTGGTTTAAATCTTATCTATCTGATTGATTTCAGTTTGTTCACGTTAATGATAAATCTTCCTCATGCTCAAAGGTTACCTGTGGAGTACCACAGGGATCAGTTCTAGGATCAATTCTCTTTACTTTATATATGCTCCCAATTGGTAGAGTTATTAGACAGCATGGGATTAATTTCCACTGTTATGCTGATGATACCCAGCTATATCTGTCTATAAATCCAGATGAAGCTAACCCATTACATAGATTACAGGCATGTCTTGAAGACATAAAAACCTGGATGACTCTTAACTTTCTGCTTCTGAATGCAGACAAAACAGAATTTATAGTATTTGGACCAGAGTCTTTGAAAAATAAGCTGATGATTAGTCAGTCACTTCATTTGGATGGGATTAAACTGATTTCAGATAATAAATAAAATATTTTATTTAACATATGTGCATTTATTTAATTCAAATCTAAAACTTCTTCAGAACTTTGCCTGAAGTTTGCCTTTAGTACAGTTTGCTCTGCAACTGAAGGTTGTAGGTTCAAACCCTTTTCAATGCCGCTGTGTCCTTCGCCAATACACTTCATCCCTCATTGCCTACTGATGGTGGTCAGAGGTGGCGCCAGTACGGCAGCATGGCTCCTGTCAGTGAGCCCCAGGGCAGCGGTGGCTCCAGTGTAGCTCACCACCATCAGTGTTTAAATGAATGAATGAATAAATGTAGGTAAACACTTTATTCATGTCTCCTTTATAACTACAGGCTGTTTATCTGCAGCCACAGCATTCCCCTATCCAGAATGCATCGCTCTAAACTGTTTTACTCAACTTCATCTTCTTCATCTTATTACTGAATGTTGCACATAAGGTGGGCAGCGTTATAGATTGTAGTGGGAATCCTGAGAGGCAGAAAACCACAAACATCAACCAAGGACTGGATTTCAGGTCAATAGAAACA